GGAAAGACTTGGCACTGGGACTCTTAACTTAAGGTTGGTCTGTCCGTCCTGTAGAGAGAAGGTCAAATAGCACCTGCCAGCAAACACTCTTCTGGGAACTTGGAATTATGCCCGACTGTCTCGCCCATGGTGGTGGTAAGTTTGCTGAGACTGTGGTTTCCAGCAGATGGGACCCTGACTTAAGTACTCAATGCTCAGTACGATAAACGTGAGCCATCTTTGGCAAACATGTGCCACCTTTGGCAGTGGAAATTTGCCAGGAGGTAAACACTGAATGGTCCTTAGTAAAGATATTTTTTTACCCTTGCAAAAGTAGTTGCACAAACACTGATCAATGTAGCTGGTGGCAAGGCTGTAGAGTTGCTTCAAGCTGCTGAGCCATAGCTTGTCCCTTCCTCTATTAGTTAGGATTTAGGGTCTAGGAAACTCTCCTTGCCCTTTAATCTTTGAATTGACTTCATAGAAGCTGAAGTTTTAGTTGGGACAGATTTGAAAGCAAATTTGGGCTTGTTTTACTACTTTGGGCAGGTATGTGGTACAGAAAGCTGCTTGCCTAGTTAAAAGCTTCTCTGTAACAAAGTAGTGCAGGTTCTTCCAGTAGCTAGTCTATTGTAAATGGATCTTGCCTCTGTTATTGTGGCAGTGAGTCACAACAAGAAGAGAAATATTAACTTCAGGTGCAGAATAAGGAGCTGATGGAAAGCTTAGGGAGACTGTTCTCATGTAAATGACCTTGGTACTGAAAGGAAGGGAGAAAAAGTGGCATGTTTTGGATTTGGAAGGGCTTTTAAAGACCATTTATCAAACTCCTACAAGGCGTAGGAAGGAGCCAGCCTGAAGAATCTGCATCTCTTCACATCAGTGATTCCAATACAGAGAGGCGTTTATAAATAGTGGCTCTTGCCTGCTACACCCACTTCATGTCATCTTGCATATGCATATTCACATTGTTAATTAAAAGAAACAAAGCAGCACAGGGCAACTGGTATCAAGAGAGGCTTTTGTTCTGGGTTTCATGTAGGAAAGGCTGGAGTTAGCTTGGTAGCACTAATTAATCCTGACCATTAATCCTGAGTGCTGGTGGGAATACTCTCATTTGGACTGTCTCAACAGAGCTCTGTTACTTAGATGGGAGAGCTGATTGCAGCACTGATGGGACCGGGTAGGCCTGTGTCTGACACGCCTATGGAGAGGTAAATGGGAACTGAAGGAGGTATATGTTGCTGCTGATGTCTCTTTGCTGCTTAGTGGGGAGTGGTGGAGAGAATTGAAAGGCACAGGCCAATAGCTGCATCACTTGGTGCAGGGACTCTGAGACTACTGGAACAGAATTCAGTTTTATTTAGCACTTGAGGATACTTCCTCCAGCTCAAAGCACTTAACAAAGTAATGCATTACTGGAAGTGCAGTAACTAGGAGCTAAATGGAACAGCCATTATGCACTTACTGCTGCTGAGACAGCCGTGGCTATTACTGCCTTTCTGGCTGAGAGTGGATGCCTGGTCACGTTACTGGAGCTGTTCTAAGATGTGCCAGAAAACCTCTGTCCTCCTTTGAAGGAGGCGGGGTGGGGAAAAGATGAAGCAAGTAGTGCTCTAAATGTGCCACTTCAAGGGTGCCTATCCCTTATGTTTGCTTCAGTGAGTACAATCACTTTTTTTCAAAACCTGTGTCAAATATAAGCACCCACCTACCCTTCAGCTGGTGTTGGAGTAGGAGGAGAGCCTGTCTTTGTGGCATGGATGCAAACAGTCCAGCTTATGAACTGCTTCTCTACTATAACAGGGGAAAAGTCTGAGCTCTCCAGCTTAAGGGAAGTTTGAGGTTGTGCCTTGAAACAGTGGAGGCTTCTGCATTTCCAGCACAGATGGATGCATGTGGCGAGTCTGCAGCAGAAGCAGAACAGAAGTGGCTACAGATATTACGAAGATTAATATCAGGATGCTGTTCAGCAAGCAGATCTCCTGGCTACAGGAAGCCACAGATATGTCCTTGCCATCTGTTGTAATAGCTTCTTCTGGGTTTCCACCTTGTGTAGAAGCTGTCAAGTTATTTCCATTTTTGGAAGGAGGACAGGCATCTGCAACTGTCTGAAATCTGCACGGCATTGAGGCAACATGACCTGGCTGCTCTGTCCTACCCCTAGGAGGAGGAGGGGTTAATTTGGTTTGGTTTTGAGGAGCACTGCAGGTGCAGACAGCTTTTAGCAGCTTGGTTACTAGCAGGTGGGTTTCTGCACCTCTGGCAGCTGTCTTGTGTGTGGAAACCCATTGTGTCACTTTGGGCCCCAATTCAATAGCTGGTGGCAGGTTTGAGAAGAGCTTCCCTCTGCAGGCATGATCTTGCTCTGCTAGAGTACATAGACATACAGTTTCACCACATAACAGGAGGTGGATTACAGTTTGCTAGAAGTAGGAGCATCTGCTAGCATTATCGCATAATCATGCCCAAGTTGTAATTTTGGGTTGAACTTGCCTTGTTATGCAAGGATATTTGTGTTGTAGGCAGAACCAGCTTCCTTCCCTACTTAGACTCCTGAGCACACACCCGTTGGGTGACCTTACAAGCAGCACTTGCTTTAGTGCTAACTGGAGTCTTCTCTCATTGTTGCTGTGCCTCCAGTGTTGTCCTACAGTGTCAGTACAGAGTATGAAAACAGGTCCAAGTGGAGGACTCTGCCCTAATCCATGCTGTGGTCCAGTGACTGGTGCCTGCAGCCAGGTTTATGGATAAGCTTGAGTCTGCTTTGGCCTAGTAACTGGCTGCAGTGCAGCAGGGCTCTTGGACTGGGTGCAGGAAATGTGGAGCCTCAGAGCAATTTGTGCTTTCTCTGGCACAAACTGCTGATGGGAGACTTCAAGCAGTTCATGCTGCTAATTTCCCCTAGTTTAGTGGTACAGTATATGCATTGCTTCCAGGGATGGCAAGGCCCTAGGTTGAGCTGTAAGTGGGCTGTGTTCCCATAGCAATGGAAATCTGTAAAATATTTAGAAAATGGATTATATTAACATCTTCAAAGCAGACAACTTGATGGTGTTTCTCTCTCTCCATAAGGGGAACAAAATTGGTTGCTCTAAAATTATGTTAA